GTCATTTCTATTTTCTCCTACAAAATTCGTCCACTCCTCTTTTTTGTCCAACATTTTCTTATACTCCCTAATCGCAAAACTAAATTCATACCTAACCTGGGACAGCCTGTCAAAATTGTACCGTCGAGCGCGTTGCAATTTTCGTCTCAATCGTCTGACAGTCCCCCTCTTCCAGACTAACTCACGCGTTCATCACTTGATTTTTCTAACCATAAAACTTTCACACTTTCTAAAAACCCTATCATTTACCCTCCGCACTACCTCGTATAGCCGAGCAATTTACCTCCCCCTACCTGGGGGCTAAGAGAAGTATTGACCTGATTCAACTCATTTTTGACATATATACAGGAAAGGATTATCTCCGAATTCCAATTGTATACTTATCACATATGTACATTGGACGATAGTTTCGGCAAGGACACTGGAGTCCTCATATTCACTTATGGTGTTTTATTTGTATACTGGAATGTGAATGAATCAGATGGAACTTAAAATTGTATTATATAGGAAGTATGTAGTATAAAAGAATTTAATGTAATGAATTTGGTTTAAATCGGTCGAGCAGGTCCCGACATATGTGACTTCATCTAAAAGTGGTTGGTGCCACGCCCAACGACCAATTTTAGTATATATAATCGTTTGATCGATTGGCCCTTCTGAATAGGCATTAAATGAAATTGGGAGGACTTCGCTCTAAATAAGTACCTGAGAAATAGCACATTTCAGTCGAATACCGACGTATCAAAAACAGCAGAAGGAATTGGTGCAGAGGCAGTGGAATCATGATCCAAACTCTCAGGGAGTAAATAGAGAAAATATCACAGAGAGATGTAATTATCCCTTAGTAAGAATAGTCCCGGAAAGAAAAAAGACGGCAGGGTAACTATTTTGAAAAGGTTCAAACATATAACCATTCCCCAGAATACTGTCGCTTCTATGATCTTGCTGCGGTGGAGTCAACGCCACACCCATCAACCGAGGCGCGTTGTTGAGCATTCTTAAAGTACTGGGTTTCATAAAGTGATGTGATATGGGAGTAGGACACAATACAGAGTTCACAGTGCATATTTCATTCTTAATATATCTATATATATTTTTACAAAGTATAATTTGCTTAAACTTTCGATAATGGGACTCCCTAGATTTTAATTAAATTAATATTTTATCCGATTATTTATGGTATATTTGCATTTTAAATTGTACTTTGCTTAGGATGTGGTTTACATTATATAATATATTTAGCCTACAACTACACGTCTTCTGACAACACGTCCGCCGCCATTGCCGCCGTTAACTCCACTACCTCCATTTCCACGCCTTGTTGTTCTAATGATCCTGATTCTTCGGGTGGTTCTTCTTCTTCGTGTGGTTGTTCTTCTTCTTCGTGTGGTTCTTCTTCTTCTTCTGGTAGTTCTCCTCCTTGTAGTTGAAGTGCTCGCTACTGTTGTTGTATTGGTGGTGCTACCAGCTGCGGGTACCGTGGTTGCATTACTAGGAGCTGCGGTGGCAGTGGTATTTGTAGTAGTTGCGTTTTGCGCCTGTACATATGCCAGGCATGCTGCTAAGGCAAGGAATAATATAAAATAATGTTTCATTTTGAAAGAAGTTAACGATTCAACTCGTAGAAATGAAAGTCTACTGTTGAACACTTTAGAATTAAGGGCTTATATAGTAGGCGACCACACTAAAATTCGCTGGCACGCACTGCTATGCGTATTTGCATAACCATTTTTTATTTACTCAAATTTGTTTACAATTATTAGGCAAAAACTGGGTGCGCGTTCCATCCATCTGAGCTCATAATTAGGCTTAGAAAATTTATATGTAGAGTATACAAACATTTCCTCAACTGTATAAACGCAATATGCGTTAGTAACGCTTCAAGATTTTCAGTACGAAAATAAACAAAATTTTGTTTTGTATTAGATTTTTTACCGATGATTATACATTATTCACACATATTCCCCTTACCCTTGTGGGCCTGTTACTAGCCTTCTGAATGTCGGAGTTCCGATTCTGGCTATTTATTAAATACCCTTGGCGTTTGGAGTTTCATAAGTGTGTCAAGTTTCAACAAAATATCTCAATTTTGATGAAAGTAATAGGTATCATGGCTTAAACTAAGATTAAACAAGTAAGGAAGGGCTAAGTTCGGATGTAATCGAACATTTTATACTCTCGCAAAGTCAAATGGTATACTCGTTTGAAATTTCTTTGTGGATTGGCTGATGTTTTCGGTAGAAGGTCAACTATAGGCACTGGGGTCCACATATTTAGTACTTAGGGGCTTGAACAGTTTTGGTTCGATTTAGACAATTTTTGGTCACAAGGTGGCATACTTTAAACGTATTATTCAGGCAAAGTTTTACCCCGATATAATCATTGTTGCTTGATATGCATTGTGGAAAGTGAAAGAATCAGATGGAATTGAAAATGGTGTTATATGGGAAATAGGCGTGGTTGTAGCCCGATTTCGCCCATTTTCGCACTATAACATAGAAATATGAAAATAACGTTATGTACCGAATTTTGTTGAAATTGGTTAAGCAGATCTCAAGATATGGGTTTTCACCTAAAAGCGGGCTGTGCCACGCCCACTGTCTAATTTTGAACGCGGTTCCTATAAAGTCATCTCATACCATCGCAGAGATAAAATTCTCTAAATGTCTCTGGCGTGTTTAGTGCTTGATTTATCGCGCTTTTAGTAGTTTTTAACAGTACCGTTATATGGGGAGTGGGCGGAGTTGCCACCCGATTTCAACTATTTTCACACTGTGGTTAGAGGTTCTAAAAAAATTTGCTTCCAGTGAATTTTGTTATTATAACATTAGCGGTTTAGGAGATATACTCATTAAGTCTATTAGAGGCGGGACCACGGCAACTTTAAAAAAAAAAATTCAACTGCAGATGCCCCTCCCTAATGTGATCCTGTGTACCAAATAACAGTCTTGTATCTTATTGCGGAGCTTAGTTATGGCAATTTATTTGTTTTTGGTTAATGGCGTTTTGTGGGCGGGGCAGTGGTCCGATTATGCCCATCTGCAATACCAACCGTCTCACGGTACCAAGAAACATGTCTACCAAGTTTCATAAAGATATCTCATTTTACTCAAGTTACGGCTTGCACGGACGGACGGTCAGACGGACAGACAGTCACCCGGATTTCAACTCGTCTCTTCACCCTGATCATTTATATATATATAACCCTATATCTAACTCAATTAATTTTAGGTGATACAAACAACCGTTAGGTTGCAAAAGTATAAAAACATGGAAAATCGTTTAAGAGCTAAATCTACTATAAATTTTGTGAAACTGTCTCTACAGTGATGCAAATATATACTTAGAATTCTGGAATGATATCTTAGTGTTACAAATGAATAATAATAAATCACTATTATAGCTCAACTTCCCATTTCCTTTAAAGGATTTAAGTATCTTGTTTATTTTTTTTCGAAAAATACCGTTTTCTGCGCCACCCATGCTCTGCAAAATTCCATGTAACAGATATATTAAGTATCGTTGTGATCCTTAAACTTATACTCAATTATTGCTTTTATGGACACTATGGAAAACAGTATACAAATAGGTGTTACTAACAACCGTTAAGTGAACTAAAATTTTACAAGAAAGAAACATTGTTTATTTTACAAGATATCTTCACGAAATTGGATATTCTCTTGAATTTGGTACAAGGGATCATAGTTAAAAAGATTGTGCTATACAACAGTTACAAATATCTTACATACTCGACCAATTCTGGTGGCGACCGAACTTTTAAGTAATTTTGGATTTCTAAAGGCATGGTACATACGACTAAAATTGCGAAAACTGTTTAACAAATTATGTCAGAAGCATTAAATCTTACTATAAGGATGATACACCTGGCTGCGTGTGCTTTAGGTGAAATCTGATATTTCAACTAATGTTTGATCGATCGATTTTTTTATTTGTGTTGCAAATTTATATTATATTTTGAATGAGAATTATATCGAATTTCCTGTTATCAAAACCATTCGCAATGGTTGACAATTTCCATTCAAAAATCTACGGAATATAAGGAGGATTTTTTGGCCTAAAACTGACAATGTGGATAGCTTTCTGAAACATGTATAATGAATGTAGTTAAGTGTTCGTAAACATAACGCGGTTTGGATTTTAATATAGATATATACCTATATTATATTAAGCCTCTTTGGCTTATATCATATACATCTCGTTTGAGTTAATTACGTTGATTTTAATATTAATATAAAGTAATATGAAAAAAGCAATGAAACTTAGTTGATACTCTCGCAACATGTTGTTACAGAGTTAAAAATTTCGTTCACCTAACGGGTGTTAGTAGCAAGTAAATCTAATCGAGTTAGATACAGAGTTATGTATGGTATATACTTGTATAAATGATCAGATTGACGAGTGGAGTTGAATTCCTGATGACTGTCGGTTTATCCGTTCGTCTGTCCGTACAATAGATACTTATAATAGACGGGCGGAATCAGACCATAGCCACGGCCAGAAAATACCCTTAAGCAAAGCCTATGTAGTGCTATAACTAAGCTACAAATAAAGGTATCAAACTTACTGAAGGTAAGTCTTTCTACCATCTCCTCACGCTGTGTGCAAATGAATGATATCAGATGATAACAACTTCCATTCCGCATATAAGGATTACGGGAACGATCCAATGTTACGGTGTGAGAATGCACGAGATCGAATCACAACCGCACTTACATTTCATATGTTATAGAAGCTCCAATAGATCCATTAGAAAAAACTTTTTACGAATATTGCTTTGCGAAAAACGATGAAAATCGGGACATCAATTTTCAAGTCCCCAGTTACCGAATATATGCTAGCTTCTTTAAGTCGATTTAAACTGTATATATCGGCCAATTTATTAGATACCAAATATGATTGTGATTTCTTTACACACCCATCTATACGTGTATGAGTATATGTATGTATAAATATTGTCTTTGTCAAGTCCTTGCTAATATTTACTGAACCAACAAAGCTGTAATACACTTTTAAAACAACTTGCGACCGGTTAAAATAAAACAACCCCAAAAATTGTTTAATAAACAGATTTTTTATTGAGAACGAAACTCTGAGTGTATCATTATTGATTTCGTTGTAAGTTCTCTGTACAATAATTTACCACAAGTAACGAGAGAGCAATGAGAGAAACACATCCCTCAAAATATACTCAGAACTCGCGTGTTACTCGTACGAAGCAGAAGTCATCATGAAATACATTTTGTTGGAAATATATACACATTTGCAAATTGTTTAATAAGCTAAAATATTAACCGATTGGTCAACTTAGAATAGTGGAGAATAAATTGTTTAAACTTTATTATTAATTATTTAAATAAAAGTGTTTTACTCCGACATCGCTTTGTGTTTTTTGTGCGTTATATTTTATCTTTAATTGTATAAAAAATATTCTATATTACAATGGATATACCATTATCGATATTGTTGTTGCTCAGCCTTGTATTTACCGTCATAGGAGCTGTTTTAGTTCTTTTGTTGCAATATTATCTTTACTTACGATTTTCTGTACTTCCTGAAGAGAGCGCGGAACAAAAGGATATCAACACGAAGTACTCATTGCCAACGGTAAGCCAAAAAACTCCAAAACTCAAAAAGTAAACAGGAATATTTCGCACTTGCATATGCAATATTATTGAACATTTCAGACAATTCAGCAAACTGCACATGCCATAAATCTATCGCCACCAACATCGTCGGTGGCCGGGCACACGCATACTGTAAGTGCTACCGAAGCAGCACCATTAATGTCAATTAACTTTGTGATGCAATTCCTTTTCCATGAACTGAAAAACTCGAGTCGCGTGCGGAAATGGTTCTACCGCAAATTGTCATTAGAACTTGATGAGCTATTGGCAAAAACTACAACCGGCAAATTGTTTGATAAGTTGACGGTGAGTTGACAACAATCATTACCTATACAAAAAAAAAAAAAAAAACCACGATACCTCCAATTTACTTGGTTCCCAAGCTACGTCAGCATAGCTATCTTTTGAATTCGTTTCAGTGCTTAGACAAGTTTGAAAAGGGCAAAAGATCCATATGGTCCAAAGAATTTCACAAATATAGAAATTTGCTTATAGTCGATGTGAATTATATTTTCCAGTTTTTTTAAATAAATAGCAATGAAAAATTGGCAATGAAGAGAGCTTCACTATAATGGAAGTAATTTTATTTATAGATAAAAGAACTGGAGCTTGGTGATCAGTTTCCTGAGATTAGAACATTACGCGTACACAGCATTGAACTGAACGATACCGGCGATCGTATTGAGAATCTCGATATATTACTTGAAATTCATTATAATGGAAATTTTCGAACATCCATCGATGCCGATATGGTTTTAGGTAAAAAGGGATCCCTCACCTTAATTGGTAAATTAAATGATTTTATACATATCTTTGTTCTACTAATTATTAATTTCAATTATTTTAGTGAAACAATTGTCTGGCTTGGCGCGACTACAATTTACCCGTCAGCCATACACTCACTGGTCGCTGAGCTTTCTGGGTGATCCAGAACTTGATTTGGCGATCGAATCCAAATATCAAGGTCGTCAAATGCAATCGAACATCACCAGTCTTATTTCGAACCAAATACGGAAAGCAGTGCGACGAAAGCACACGCTTCCAAATTATAAACTACGTTACAAGCCATTTTTCCACAAAACACCCGAAGAAGATGCTGATGGAGATATACAACCAAATGGGACGCTAGAAGTCCGAATGTTCGAAATATCACGACTCATGTGTACGGAAGTTACAACAGAAGTTTATTGTACATTGACTTTAGCTTCGCTTGCATTTGTCGAGATACGCCAGAAGGATAATCGCAATGTGATAGTTTTGATTGACGTCGAGATACATAAGGCGAAAAATCAACAGATCGGCATACTTTTTAAGCAAAATACTGAACAATGCGTGGAAATTGAAGCGGTTTTGCCCAACACGCCCGCATGCAAATCCGACCTACGTCCAGGTGACATGCTAATTGCAATTGAGGGCAAGCGGGTGCAGTCCATCCAACAAGTGGCGAAGATATTCAAAAGTTTGCAAACTTCAGCTTATCGCTTACGCATCGAGCGTGTTATACCAGGTATCATAAGAAATGATGCAATTTTGGAGGATCTCGAATTATATGAAGATTTGGGGGATGCTCATATGGGCTATAGTGTGGGCAAGACGCCAACTGAGCACAATGAGTTAGCCGGTAGACAAGCATCTACCCGCCAAAGTACAGGTGACAAAGGTTCTTCTAGCGAATCTAGTCTTGGTAATACTCCAACTAATTCCCCAAAGAAAAGTAAACTTATAACGAAAGCACTGAAAAAGACCATCAGCCGTGAGCTTAATGAGCATAACAAAGAAATAGAAGAGGAACATAAGCTGAAAAACAAACAGTCATTAAAATCGGAGGATAAGACGAAGGGTTCGCCAAAAGTGTTGATTGACACGGTAGGTGAAGTGGAGCATTATTATCAGCACTCAACCGTAGATCGCAGTATAAATCGTCTCATACATATAGATGATTTGAGCTGCTTCAAGTTGGAAGCAAAGTCGCGTTATTTGAATATAGGCGTGTATTCAAAAAGTGCCGGTGATGGTTTATTGTTAGGCTATGTAAACATACCAGTGGGTCAGATTTTAGCTGAGTGTTGCGAAACAAGCTTAGTCCAGTGCTGGAAGATATATGAACTAAGTCCACCAATCCCGCAAGATTTGTATGCAATATTTTTGTGAAAGCTCAAAATTATTTAATTAAATTACTTCAACTCCTTTTCGCAGGAAGACGCATAAACTTTCCAGCCAATCTGGCTTTATACCTGACTTGTGTTTTGGAGATGTGCTTTTCGCTTTTACCTGGGAAGGTAACCCCAATCTGCAACCTAGCGAGCCACTAACCAAACAGGTTTCTAAGTCCAAGAGCAAGTAAGTGAGACTCACCTTAATTCATATTTAAACTTTTTCGCAAAAAGATATTCCTTTCAAAGAAATAACTACGCTGATGAAAAAATGGATAACGATAGTGGTGTTTATGATACAAATTCGTTGCGGATCACGCCAAGTTCCAGTTCACTTACATTGATTAACCAAACAACTTCGAGTCAGTTGCGTTCGCACAGTTTTGTGCGCACCCATTTTCAACGTGCAACCCAGTGCGATTTCTGTGGCAAAAAAATCTGGCTGAAAGATGCGGTTCAATGTAGTGAGTGCGCCATGTGTTGCCACAAGAAGTGTATATCGAAATGTCAAAATGCCACAGTTTGTGGTCCTGTTGATTGCTCCAATGTGCTGCGACAACCGTCCATAACTAGCACAACTCCAGAGTTCACTGTTACCGATGCAGATACTTGCGATGCTTCTGAAGGCGAAGAGGCCATGCTATTAATATCGGGCGAAGAGTCGGCAGAAGCAATGTCCGCTAAATTGCCACCAACGCCAGTTCTCGAGGTTCATCGTTCAAGTCTGACAGGACTATTAGCTCAAGGCATAAAGCGTGTTAATTCAGCGAATAATCTTGCTATACCTGGCATTGTGTCCGCATTGGCTGGGAGTAGTGGCGGTGGATCAAGTGCTAATTTAGCCACAATGGCGAAAAGTTTACCGCCCAGTCCACAAAGATCGCCATCTCGGTGAGTAGAAAAAAATGCATATAACAAATTAAGTACATTTACAAATAAATTAGTTGAATAACTCAGTAATTTCTATATAAAAATACATACCTTTATACAATTTTAGTAAATCCTCGCTGGCTTGTAGTCCTTTTATTACTTTCGATGTAGTTACAAAACGTTTGGAAGCTATACCATCAGAGGTAACAGCTCTGAGTATCGAAGAGATTAGATCTATTAGTGAGCCAATAATCGGCATCCTGAAAGATGAAGATGTTATGACTTTAGCTAAAAATGCTAGCAAAAATCTTTATAGCGAATTGTCTACTGCTGAACGCATTGAGAAAATCAATTCATTGGTAAGCTCAATAACATGCAGTTCATCATCAAGTCTAAATGTTGGACTATAATATCTACATGTTCGCTTGTAACAACAGTAAGTGACTAATGTTTTATATATACGAATATTATGCGTATTAAATATCTTGCATTTCCGAGTTTTCTTAGCGCTGTTACAAGCAACCGATAGATAAACTATTATCTGAAAAGAAAAGTGCTAATGATATTGTACAATATCAACTTCTTTCATTTTCGTGTAGCTTAGCAAACTTCGATTGGCTTTAGACAGCGAAACGTCTCTTTATTCTAGCTTGGCGTCTGTGGACGCGTCGAAGAGGGATAATATTGACGCGAGTAGTACAACACTAGGAAAGTCGGAGGACCGTGTCCAAGCGCTCAGTGTAATTATGTTGTATCTGTGTACTGGATTGCAGCACGCCCAAGGCTTTGAGCTGCGTTGAATGGAATCAAAATTTTAAGTTTATAAAAAATAAATAAGTGTAGAAAAATTTCGGGAACACATAAAAATGCTGATCTGAATCCTGAAGTATTAATAGTGGCATTTTAGTGTAGCGCTAAAATATAATACTCCCAATTACATTTTTTTGATAGTTTCAAATAGCAAATTATATGAATATGTAATTTTATATACATTTGTCTGCACAAGAACGTCTTTCAACGCATATTATATCTAAATCTCACATTCTTGTACATCTTATGCATATTGAACCTAACAGTATTTTTGTGAGTAAAAGTTGTTTAAAGACCAAGAAAATGTTTTATATACTTCGATATATATAATATGTACGTGTATGTCTATGTAGGTACACAAAGAGGACTTGGCTAGAATTTTATAAATTCGGTGCACACTTATTTGTTCGTATGTAGTTGCAATTATTATGTGTGGAAGCTGCCATATTTCGATGTAACATAATTTAAGTCTGCTTATTAAGATGTAATGTTACTGCATTTTTTATCATAAGCGATCCTTTTAACTGCTACGCCCCACACAAGTGTACATACTAACTCTCCAATTAATTTGACGACAGTTGTCAAACGTGCTTAGAAGGTGCCAGTAATCTATTTAGAAACGCAACTGTTTATTATTTCCTCATATATGACATGAACATGGCTACATTCTACCATTTACTCTGCAAAATCTTTTCAATATGTCATATATGGCGCTTCTTATTCTCTTAACTATACGGACAAAAGTTAGAAACCTACTGCTCATGCATTTAAATATTTTGAAATAACTATTGATACGCCAAATTGTGGATTGATTGGCGATTACAGGCAGTACCTTAAAGTTTTACATATAAGGAGTTATGCAGCTGGGTAGGTGCTTATGAGTAACATTCAATTAAATATAAAAAACGAAACTCAGATTTATTTAGTATATCAAAATATATAAACTAAACGGGTTGCGGTTTATAGAAAATAAATAAAACTAATTACTCATACCAAACTACTACTAATAAACTATTGCCTATACAATGCCTACAAGTTTATATGAAAATTTCAAGGTCGATGTGTGGCGCCCAGGCTTTATCCAATCTCTAATGGATGCAAATTTTGCTCGCTTAACTTTTCCAACCACACAAATAAAAATATATAAGAAGCTAAGCATTTATAAATATTTACTTTACTGTAACTTATTTGTTGCGAAATTAAGCTGTATTTTCATAATGGAAGTTTTGTTATATATTAGATATACCATAGATGACTTAAGGTTGAGTAATAGGGAATAATTTTTTTATGCACATTAATAAGGGCAAGATTATTATATATCTTTTACATTTTCATATAGTGCAAACATTTTATTTGTGCGCTTTTAGAATTAGTGATGAAGTTTTAATTGAAAAGCTCCTATCCTAACAGCTAGCTACATAGGAGCTAGGTATGAATAATACATTCAAAACTGAACAAAATATCTCAAAATCAGAGCTATCGAATATACTTACAAACTATGGAGCAATGTCATAATTTCATAGTAATGAAAATACAAAAGACTTTAAAATAATCCAAGAAATATCTACAGTTATTTCTATGAAAGTTTGATATTCAGTTGCTGATACCTTGTACAATGCGAAATTGCACACCACTTTTAAGTTATGTATAATAAAATTCACTCTCTCTAAATACACAGGGTGTAGCTGCAAAATTTAGATTTGCATTCAAAATATATTCCTTTACCGCCGCCTAAAAGTATGCATTGATTGATCATGGAACACCAAATGCTTGTAGTCTCCAAAAAGGCTTTTACGCTTGAAACAAATTCCATAACTGTTTGGTGTATATTTTTTATTTAATGAACAAAAAAGACTTTAATATTGTCAACTATATCATCAGCAATTTTATTGAAATTAAAGCATGGCGGTGCAATGTGAAATATCTCCACAATCGTGTTGGAAAAAAAGAAAAGATTACTCAATACAAGAAATTTTACCAAAAACCTGCCGCATTGTTAACATGAAAATTAAAAATCACATTAGTACACTTACTCCAAATAATAAACATCAATGCTTTTTAATATTTAATTAATTCTTTAAAACGCTGCGTTTACTTCATATTCTCATTTTTATTTGTGTGTCTGCATTACCATGTTCTACTATAAACTGTAAAATTAACAATAAGAAGGAGTTGTGTTTCCATTAAGTATATACGAATAAGATGTCTAAGAAATATATATAAGTTGCTAATAAACTTCTTCGGAAGCGTAATATATGTTTTGTTAAAAGAAATAAATTATTAGCAACACATGTTTTACTTCATTGTCACATTTTAAAGACTTATAAGCTTATAAAGTTTTTAACAAAAATAAATATCATTGAAAGATTGTCAAACTTCACGTCTCTATTATTTCATAGTTGTTGCATTACTTAAATTAACATAAGCTTATAAAATTTTTCATCAAATTTTGGGACTAACAAACCTAGGGTTAAGCTTTAAATGAAATTATTTGCGAGACCCACTCACACACATATATATATGTATATGTATATATATTCTGTAATTTGGAATCTGTTACGGTCACGCAGAGAGCACAAATGAAAATTCATTTGCAAATAAAAATAATTACTACCAAAATAAAAATATATCAACATGGGCACGAAAACACGAATGACCGAGTCATTGTATGATGGAAATATTGTTTTTGCTCTATATATGTATATATGTATTCATATTTATAGGTAAAATTTACGCCGTAAGTGGAAAATCAGTCGCACATTCAGAAAAGCCTTGCGGACATTGCAAAAGTACATATACATATTATAATGTGTGCATGTGTGAACATTGGGCAAGTTGCCAGCATTTCGGTTTCTTTGTAAGTTCTTAAATATTTCCGCAGATGAAGCTGTCACAAAGTGCAATGGAACAATGGAGAAGAGTTCAATAAATCCTTGGAAAAATTACGACTTTGAAGTAGATTAGTGATATATTGGAACAATGCCTTTGCATCCTTTATACATAGTAAAAAATATAGATATTATATCTAAATAATATACAGGATTAGTCTACATAAGATATATTCCAACCACATAAGTTCATTTATTCAAAGTGTTTCCCTTAAAGACAGATTTATCGTTAACTAACAGTAGCACATACTTGTACATGTATGCAGCTCGAAATTTCTCTCTTTGCATTTTACTATGTGCATTTACTAAAACACTCGTACGTATATTTATAATTAGCTCTTCACCAAAACTTCATTTAATTTTTTTATCGTTAAACCACTTGCCAATTCCTCAATCTAAATTTAGTTTGATTCATTGACATTAACGCACTATTAAGTAATTAAGCTTATACAGATAAAAGATTCTGAGAAAATTGCTAGATTTATAAAAAACTAAATTTTATAAGAAAGAAAGTAGACGAAATTTAAGTGCTTTTAAATTGAAGACAATAAGCAACAATATATAAATTATAATAAGATGTATAGTAATAGAGCTGTTAAAATATATGGAACAAATTTGATACTTTATGTTATAATAATATGTGGAATATAATATTTTTAAAACTAGTAAACTTAAATTAAGCTGCCCAATTCGACCCAATAAAAAACAGCTAAACAAAACGAACTATCAAAGTTTCATACCAATTGTTAACAAAGCTTTATTCTTTATTCATTCGTACGACAGCCACAAATTTTTTAATTTTTTCTCAATCAAACATAATTAACGAGATGAAATTGTTGTAATCGGTGCGTTCATTATATACATAGCACATGGTTATTTATAACGGATTTTGTTTTGTAATTATAATTATACTCGATAAGTTTTATTTCTTCTTCCTTGTAGATCTCTCAAGATATTAGAACCAGATATATATACTGCCTGGTTATCCAATTGGTTTTTTTGCAGTATTCACAGAGTCTATTAAAATTACGAGGCTCACTTAGGGTCTGGTTTACAGTCCATCACACTATAAAAGAGGTTTAAGCTTCCACATTTAAAATACTTTGAAAATAATTTAAAATTATTAATTTTTAATAGACTCCAAAGCTTTTGATGGTTTGGAATGAGGTTATATATTTTGATTAAAAAGGTTGAAAATCACAAAATTGCACTAAGCTATCTCTGGCAGTGCAAGAGAATCGTACTCCGATTATAAGAATTGAAGAAAATGCGTAATAAGTGGAGTGTATACATCCATAAAAACAATTCGTTGACTCGTGACTTTTTTTATTTGGACAATATTCTTTTAAATTTTGTTTTAAAATTATTTCGGTTTTGTTTTGATTTTCGTTCGATGCTCTTTCTTTATAATTTTTACGTATGTAGATAGCGGGATTTAAACAGATATACATATGTACATACATATACATACATATGTAAACTATACAAAACCAAATGTTTATAAATAAATGGGTTAATACGCACTATGCTGTACAGTAATTACCCGTTCAAATGAACACTTGGTGGATCGATAGCGATCGTTCCTCGACTATTATTTAGCTTAAACACAACACGGGCGACGACGAATATTCGTTGGACGAATTTTGGCCGAGTGTTGCCGCCGTGTAAAACACAATACGGACGATTTTCGTCGCAGCTAGTGTGTATTCCGCGCTCAAAAATATCACAATAAATGACGAAGCCAAACATATGCAATCTTAATATTGCCAACGCAGACATTTTCTTAAAATATTCTTTCTTTGATATGGTGAAGCCGTTTTTGCCGCCGCGGTCGGCGATAAAATTAGAAATAGCTCTATCTCAAAAATCTTCATGGTGGTGGAAATTCGCCGCCGTCGCGTATTGTGTTCATCTTCATACACACTCGTGTGTTCTAATCACCGACGGCGTAGCCGAGTACGACGAATATTTGTCGTCACCCGTATTGTTTTTAAGTTAATAAACTGTCTTCGATTCTCCAAGCGTTACTTTCTAGCGAATTGAACATACTATACCATATGCTCAAACAAACCGGCAGCGCTTGTGGTGCAACACTGCTGTATGTTTTAAAAATACAAGAAAAAAAGAAATAATAAGAGTCATTTTATTTCTGATTTGAACCATTCACAATAGTAAAAATTAGCTAAAATATGCAAAACAAAAGTTGGCAGCATTGAAGATAGAAGTTGTACCACTTTAATGAGGTATCCGTATACTTTCTTGCTTCAATTTAACTCGATGTCTGTATAGACCGTAATAAGCCTGATAGAATATTAGAACAAAGTCAAACTTTGGAATCATTCTTGTTTAATAATTTGCCATTTGAATAAATATTTTATTAAATATCTAGTTAGGAGTAACGTTTCAAAACTTATATAGAATTAAACATTCTAATACCAATAAGTTTTAAATTTTCCAACTAATATATTAGAATGAACTGTCATTAAGAAGGAAGTCCTACACCATATCAATATCTTCCCCCAGAGAAATCTACGCCAGAAAATTAAAGGTTGTTATTAAAAATTAATTTTTCCTTACTCGTCTTGATCGACATCAACGCAATGTTCGTTAAACTGGTGCCCCACTGCATATCTTTTTCTCGAGTATAATTTTCTCTTGTTTGTTTGTAGATATAAGTGCTAGAGGGAGTACATGGTACTCTCTGATATCTCTCGACCTGTGTTGTGATTGCCATAGACTGTGCCTATTTACATGTACATCCTACCCACATACGTAAGTACGAAAACGTGGCTATAGAAATTATTAGTTTTTTTATTTTTGTTTTGATTTCGTTCGACGCAATTATTCTTTCTTCTTCCGTGGTATAAAAACAGCTGATGGCGGAGCTTTTCAACCATTTGAAAAACGGAAGACATACGTAAAGTTAAGATTTAGCGTTTTTGAAATTATTAATAATTATTTATTGAAATCGAAAGTGTTAAAGGCAAATACAAAATCATTATAACATATACATATATATGTACACAATTATTCTGAACTTCTTTGATTGGATGATTAAAAAAACAATATATGTAATAATCAAAACATAGACAAGAAATTAAAAATAAGGTAGAAAATATAAACAGTGAACTCCATAAAACGTAGTGGCAGCTGCAGAGTGTATATAAGTGCCCACAGCACGGGTGAAAGACCCATAAAGTTAACGTAGCAATAACTTCGAAACCAACACAGTGTTGCAACTGTCTCTATTGCATACATATTTTGTGTAATAATAAAATCCCGAATAGTGTTGTTAAAAAATATACAAGAAAATGCGTCCTTTCGGTAACGATATCACCAATATTGCCAACAACAGTGGCAACAGCAACGGCGGCGGAAATAACAATAATAATAACAATAACACTAACAGAGTTGCCACTGGCAATGATATTAACGGTGACAGTGTGCAGATAACTGACGATCCACGCGTGCCGCCACACATAGCCCGCATGGGAGGCATAGTGACCTGCTCACCGATTGCGGGGCGCGGTATTATTCGAGTGGTTGGCCGCTGTGAGGATGCAAAAGAGAATAATATATTAGGTACGTAGAAACGCTGATTTAATGGAACAAATTTTGTAAAATCTTTTCGCGCATTTTCATGTTACTAATAATTACCTCTATAACGGTTTTCAACTCCACATGGTTGAATTGAAGTAAAATTTGGTGTTGCCAACCTAAACAATTAAAATTTTATAGATAACTTAGAAGCTAAAAATTTTTACACGAAAAATATAAACAATTTAATGCAGTTATTGCTCATGAAAAGGTGAATAATTATTATGGTTAAATGGACATTAGTTTTGATTTATAATACTATGACGGAAATTTCGGAGCCAAAACTGGTATGCTGCATTTACGAAAAAGCTTTTAAGATCATTCAAATCCATTGGAACATCCTAACGCAATGCTTTATTGACATTTAAATGGATTTAAGTAATGGTTGCTGAAGATTCATAAGTTTTTTTTTTTTCATTTTAGAGGTTACATGGGTTTCCTCGTGCAAAACATGACCTATTTTCAAAATTTTTTTTCGATATAACAAATGAAATATTTTAGTATAATTTTTTATTATTCCAAAAATACATAAAAGGATTTTGTGAATTTTTCAAAGAAAAATATTCGAAACTCGGCCATTGCGATCAGTCATTTTCGGCAGTCCCTCGGAAAAAAGGTGCCTCTGCGTTGACAGCAGAACTTCTTAGGGGATCATCAAAACAAAAAAAAATACATGGTTTAATTAAGAGCATAAACTAGATATTGGACGAAAGAAAAAACAAAAAAATTTAAAATGTATTTTCATCAGACGTTTTTACAATAAATTGCAAATTTGGTAAAATCACTCGACGATAAGTAAACATTTTGTTTTTTTGCTAAATGAAATGAAAAAACATTTCCATTTTATTTTTACTGCTTCCTTGTTCAGTTTCGAAGTTTTTCTACACGATCTCAACAAATGTTTCACCCTAATTTTTCTATGCATTTGTTCAAAATAACAGATAGAAATGGTTTAAAATTGTATGTAAAATTCTTTGTTTACCCGCTATATATTTTCTATTAATATTTTTCCTAAATAACCGTAGTAATGCTTGGTAGCAACGGTAGTTTTTTGATATTCTGGTCAACATCACTGGCACAGAATTGAAAACGGTAATACCACAAAAGTTGAAATTTGACAACATTTCAACCGAAACTTTTTTTTACAGATCGAGATAATATCGATAATACCGAATTTCAAAATTTAAACCAAAATGAAGTTGAGTTGAAAACAGTAATAGGGGCTGGTGTTGCGTATTATGTATTAGATATGTCATAAGTTGAAATCCTGTTTGATACAAGTTTATTAAATTTAATTTTGTTTCAGGGGGGGGGGCTAAGGTTATGCGGAGTCCATAACGGTAATTTTGACACGTAAAAACTTTTTTAAGAACCACAAGCCTTTTACAGCCGTTTTTAAATTTGTGTACGCACATTCAAATTTGTAGCTAAAGGTCTGTTTAATTTTGTATTTCTGACAGTTCTATGACACCCAGCTCGCCAATTTACAGAGCATAGCATATATAATATCATTATATTATATAAGGTAACAAGTGAAACAAATCAGATTCGTTTTTAGTGCGACCATATAAAATATCGGTATGTATTACGTAGTAAATGCTTAAGCATATACAGCTTTGTATCTTTACATAAAGCATATTTAAAAGTTTGTGCGACCGTACCGAACTTAATTCAGTATAAGCAACCAAAAATTATAAAGCAACTAATAAGCTACAGCTAGACGATTGTGATGTAAATATTATACATAGTAAATATATTAGTATTTCCAGCCATTGAGGCGCACTGAAGTGAGCGTTTGGATTTCACGCCCGCTGGTGGGGCATTGCTGTGAAATCAACATTTACATTGTTTAGATACGTCGAACAAAGTAAAAAAAAGCCTAGTTTTTTATGGGGTGTTAGTGTTTCGCCACTCGCAAGGCCGCGGTTATTCAATGGTTTCTATTTAACTCACTGGTGATGATGGTATGGTACAAGTATATCAGAAATCTGGTTGTTGTTTGTAGGTCAAAGTTGAATCAAAGATTTTAATATAATAATATTTGTTCACATTATCTTAGTATTATTTTAAACGCCATAATTAAATACGTGTATTTAAACTTAATCAACAACTAATTTCCTTATCTAAACTATATATTTTTGAAAAATTTATTTTATTCGCATATTTATAATCATAATTTAATTATTCTCTCAGGGTCTGGCTCTCAATGGTCAGAATAATGTACATACAAATTCATTAAAATACATTCATTAATAGCTCTCTTAAAATTTGCAATGAGTCTTTTTTTAATTTCATTTTAAATATTAATTAATATATACCAAAGTTTACAAAACACTTTATAGTTCTAAATATATAGGAATGATTATTACTAACGGTTGCCGACAATCCACGAGACGGTTTTTTACTCGGATTTCTTTTTACGTACATATGTATGTATGAATTTAGTTGTGTTCTTCATTTCTTAATTCT